CGATCTCGGTCGCAACGAGCAGCTGTCGGAATAGCGCTTGTTCGCCGTCATCTTGTGTCAGAGAGCTCAACATATCCAGGAACGTAGAAACGGAATCAATCGATTCATGGGTGGGCGCAGCGACAATCTCGCGCACAAGAGACCCCAGGTCGTCCGCACCGAGCAGTTGGTTCATAGATGCCTCGATGATGTAGCGAAAGACAACGGCAAGTGTTAGTGCATCGCCCTCGTGCTGTGCGGTCATGGCGGCCTGCACCATGGCATTTCGTGGGCCGGTGTCCCAGTTGGCCACTCGCGCAGGCGTCAGATACTCGTTACTCTCTGGCACATGGCGTGGTGTGGAAGGCCTCGATAGCTGTTGCGGCGGCGCAGGGGCAGAAGAAGCCGCTTGTGCTGGCCGCCCTGACTGGAATGGATTCGGAGGCGTAGACATTGCACTTGGCGATGTGTGACTGACGACGGGGCTCTGAGGCACCATGGAGCCACCACGTCCGCCATTTCTGCTCTGACGTCTACCACCACCACCGCCGCCGCCAGCGCCAGCACCTCCATAACCCGCAGGACCCCCGTTTCCACCGCTACGCGGGCTATTAGTCTGTTGGCCGTGCTGTGCAAGCCCGAGGTTTTGTGGGCGATGCGGCGATGGACGAGAATGGCGGTCGTCGTCCCGCTTTCGCTTTTGAAGAGCCATCTCTTTACGACGCGTCGTGCAGCATGCGGCGATGTGTCCAGTGCGGTCGTTGAGAAAAAGTCGTAAAATGTGTGGAAAAGGTTTCCGTAGTTGGAAAAGACTTGGGTTGCGGATGGATAATGGGAGGTCGCGTTGCGGCCGTCGCGGTTGTTGGTTGTGGTGGAGCCTTGTCTCGAACTTCTAAAGAGAAGCTCACCCGCTAGCGCGGTGTATTGTTCAATCAATATGAGTCCGTGCTCTCACTTTCACTACTGCGAACACGTCACAGCCACAAGCCAAGAAGTCCCAGGTTTTGGTATTTGCAATACTGTACGATAACAATAGCACACACGCACAATGACAATAGCAGATACATCCAACGGTAATAGCAGGCAAGTAGCGTTTGTCGATTGCAAATCACAATTTGACTATACAGCTGCTCAGATCTCGAACTTTTAAATGAGTGACCAGACCAATACATGCTATATACATATATGTATTTATATATACCGGGGCCAAACACAACGACAGCCTCACATGCCTAAGCAGCAGCAGCTACAGCCTGAGCCGTAGCCTTGCGCTCGTTCTCGAGAATAGCCTCAAGCACGCCAGTCGCGCCTTGGCCTGCCTGCAACTCTTTGAAAACGGTGTCAAGTCCGAGCTGCTCGTCTGTCCACAAAGGAGGCTCTGTCACCTTTCCTGCCTCACCAACACCAATGAAACCCCCTTCGGCGGCCCATTCGCTTGTACGCTTGATATCCAACTGCGTCCAGACGGCATCCAAAGCCTTCACCAAGTGCTCGCGATATTCGCGTACGTGACCTGGTGTAGGTGTGATGCGCAAACGTTCCTGACCGACAGGCACGGTAGGATAGTTGATAGCCTGAACATAGATATCCCAATCTTCAAGGAGGAGATCCGAGGCCTTCCGCGCAGTTTCTGCGTTTCCAACAAGGACTGGGATGATATGGCTTGGGTTGGGTATCACAGGGATGTCCTTTGCATCCAGCGCGTCTTTCACAGCCCGCGTATGCAATTGCTGGAGACGTCGGTCTCCCTGGTAGTTGGCCTGGTACTCTATGGCGGCCTTGGCGCCTGCCATGGTCGCGGGTGGGAGCGAAGTTGTGAAAATGAACCCAGGTGCGAGTGACCTGATGGTGTCCACGAGCTTGGAGGAACCGGCAATGTAGCCACCAACGCAGCCATACGCCTTGCCTAGAGTTCCAGTGATTATGTCCACGCGATCTTGAATAGTGCCTTGGGGTCTGCCCGCTTTGTGTGCTTCATAATCGAGATGCTCTGCAACTCCGGCACCGTGTGGTCCGTACATGCCAACGGCGTGAACTTCGTCCAAAAAGGTGATTGCGCCATACTTTTCCGCGAGATCACAAATTTCTTCAATGGGTCCGATGGAGCCACACATGCTGTACACGCTCTCGAATGCGATGATCTTAGGATACTCGGCGGGGATGGATTGCAGTTTAGCCTCTAAATCGGCTACGTCATTGTGCTTGAACACCATCTTCTTCGCGCCAGAATGACGAATGCCCTGAATCATCGAGGCGTGGTTCATGCTGTCGGAAAGAATGACACAGTTGGGTAGCTTGCTACCGAGGGTCGCAAGTGTGGCGTCGTTTGCAACGTAGCATGACGAGAACACGAGCGCTGCTTCTTTCGAGTGAAGTTTTGCAAGCGTACTCTCCAATCCCATTGCGTGCTGATTGTGACCTGAGATGTTTCTCGTTCCTCCGGCACCTGCACCATACGTGTCGAGGGTCTCGTGCATGGACTTGAGAACTTGTGGGTTACGTCCCATACCGAGGTAGTCGTTGGAACACCACACAGTGACCTTCTCATCCTTGGACTCCTTGTGGGCGAGGGGGAATTCCTTGGCTAGGCGGTTGATGTTGTTGAAGTAGCGGTACGATTTGTCCTTGTGCTTCTTGTCCAGCTCATTGTGGTAAAAGCCCTCGTAGTCGAAATGCGAGGCCTCAACAGAAGGTGGAGCCGTAGCATGGGTCTTTTTGACGGTTGCGGGCTTCTGGATGGCGTGGGGGAAAGGCATGGAGGCTGTGTCTTGATTAGCGGTCGCTCAGGACTAGATGATCGCCTCCCATTCTTGATCACGTAGGAGGGACACGCGAGTCGATAGATTGCAAGTAAAGAATATTGACATACCCTGCTGGGCCCTCAGATTCTCGAGATCGACTGCCTGGGCCTCCTTGACGGTTGAAGTATGCAACTTGGCGCGGTTCACTCGGGAGTGGTAAGCACGAACACCGCCAAAGGCACCCGCAAGAGCGCTGTTGCCAATGCGAGCGCTCTGGACGGCAAGCGCTTTGCCCATGATGGGGCATCGACGACCAAGAACTTGGAGGTTCGACATGCTTCCTGCGCCTGGAGAGACGTCATGACCAGCGGCGGTCGTGGAGAGAGAGCGCAGAGTGGCGGGAGATGTCTTTGAGAGAAATGGACACATGGTCCTTGATTGCCGCAAAAGAGCCTCCATAATGGCGAATGCACAGCGAGAGTGTTGCTTTTTTTTTTTGAAGGAAGCGCTGCGTTGACTTGGTAAATGGGGGGAGAAAGGTGTTGCTGGAAGAAAGAGAGAGAGAGAGAAGGCGGGATTGCGGCAGACTAGAGAGAAATAACTTCATGCGCATTCGGAGTAAAGTCGCATCTAAGGAAGAGTAGTAAGGGTGCCGGTCTCGGTGTCAAATGGCCGTGTTTTCATTGGCTACGGAACGGGAGTAGAGTCAAGTACTACTAGAGTAGACCATGGTTGATTGATTAGACAGTCTATGAGACTATGACAACCATAGTATGGGCCCCGTCAGATCGGCGTGAGGGGTACCGTCTTAGTACGCTTTGGCGGGAGGCGATGTGGTTGGAGAAACATCATCTGCACGGCATCAGCTAGAGTACAGTACAGTACCTACGCCGCAGATTATCTTGAATGCACGTCTATTGTCCGCTTGTGTATTCGGTATTCGTGCACCTTCACATCCACATTCATCATTCTTAAGTAGCATGTCTTGCCTTATTGCTTTTGTTGTACATCCGGAATGAGTTGAACTCGAACGAGATGTTGTGGACCGCATAACCCGCGGGATTAGAGAGTAGTTCGTCAAGACTTAAGAGTATCCACCATGGTACCCATCCAAGCCAAGTAGATGCAACCTGGAGCACAGCCCATACTAGCCTCAACGTTGATTTCGTAGTCTCTTCCCAGCTTCGGCTACTAAAGCATCCAACTTCCGCTGCCGAGGCACGCCGCGCGCATCGTACGACGACAATGAACATCGACTAGGTAGTCATGTTCTGGCGAGTGGCCAGTCGCGCGGACGCATCATGCATTGTACGGTTTTAAGGGTTTGCAAGGTTGTGGATAGATTGAATGCAGCTAGCTGACAAGGCACATTCGCCATCCTCCATCTAGATAGGAAGTGGGGCCATCGTCTGCTATGTACTCTAATCCATCGGACATCTAGACCGTTGAGTAGAAAGAAATCAAAATTTGGCTCCTGTCTTGAGGCCAGGACAACCATGTTCAGGCTACTCGGTATCTACATCTCTCAGTCTTCGTCGTCGGAGATTTCGATGATTTCCGCTTGCGACGGGCGATCGGGATGTTGCAATGCTTCTTGACTAAATGTCGTGTCCATGATTTTGCAGAGGAAGTCGTAAAAGACGTCCAAGTCCAAGGGGCTATTGCTGAGTTCATCTGAAAGTTCTCCCAAATCTGCTCTCGAAGGCGCCTTGGTGGAGTAGTCGTCGCAGTACCACCAGGAAAAGAAAAGCCTGCCAATGATCTGGATCTTGACAAAGTCCCTCTGCAGCACACCATGTATTCGAGGCTCGTCTCTAGATAGCATATTGATATAGGCCTTGATCTCTTGTCGGCACTTTGCTTTTCCGACAACTTTAAGCCGGCTGCGGATGTTTTCACGATCTGCAGCATGTAGTTCGTGGAGTGCTTTCAATACCACCCGCTTACGATCTTGGGTTTCTATCAGATCCCTCCAAAGCCATCGTCGGACTGTCGCCAGAGAAGCCTGTTCAGGTTCATCTCCATGATTGGCAGTATGTATATCCTGCAGATTCAAAGGTAGAAAGGTTGGCGTGTGCTCTTCCGCTGTAGCTGCAACCGGTGACACATAAGAGACTTCATTGGCATCGCCTATGGATGATGCAGGTGGCGATCCGAGGTCAATGATTCCTGCAGCAGCATGTTGATCTGACTGATCAACAGGAGCCAATTGTGACTGGCCGCCACGTTCCGTATCATGAATATCTCCGTCGCTGTCACTCTCAGGTGATAAGGAGTAGATTGACAGAAGCCAACTGGCCAGCTCCAGATTGTAGACTGTCATCTCCAAGTTCTTACACTGTTGACGTACTGCGTCTGAGTTGCTGCCTGGGAACTCCATGATTTCTTCACACAGTCTATCCAGACCGCCCGTATACCAGTCTACTTCCGCCTTGTACCTGCTTATCATTTGTTGGCGTTTGCCTTTACTCTCTGCATCCTCCCACATCTTCTCTGGCTCATAAACGATCCAGTCTTCCTTGGGTACGCCTGAATTGGGCTCCCATATACTCGTGTAGTGTGCTATGCTGGCATTGATGATATTGACAATCTCATCATCATCGATTTTGGAGCCCGTTGTTGCTGTTTGCGCTTCTGTTAGCTCATCTTCATCTGCTGTAGATGAGCCGCTCTCCTGGAGTAACTCGTCTTCTGGTTCCCAGCTCGCCAAATCACCATTGTCTTCTGCGCCACTGTAATTATTCCATTTCAGGAGGAAGCTCCAATCGCTGGGCTCAGCTTCGGGGCCTGATGCGTCTGCCATGGTGCGGGAAGATTCGGTCTTCTTATGAGCCCTATGTTCTGTGGATAGTTTGTGTGGAGCGTTGAGCGTCATTTGCCCGTGTGTCTGTTCTTGGGGAGCGAAGGTTTTGGATGAATGCGGTATTACAAGTCGAACCTTTCTCCTTCTTCTTTTCTGTGCGGGTTGGGGTTTGGCAGGATGGGTGAGAGGTGGCCCTGTGTTATGGCTGCAGCTGTTCTTGGAATCGCGCGACGTCATGTGAGGACGCGACGAGGGGCATTCGGACGTGAACGTGAACCCCGACCCAAGAAGCTGTACGTTGCAAGGCAGCCATTGCAGAGAAGCCAGCGAAAAGAAGCTGTGATCCCACTACTACCTGCACATGAGACGATTGTGGAGGGGGAATATCCAGAATTTCCTAAGGCACTCAGGTAGGAGTCTCGACCTTCGGCAGTAAGCGGGTCGGGACAGATTCGTCGCTAGTTAACGTCAACGTTAGTGCGGGGAGCATTTGTAAGTACCGGTATGGTACCGGTTAGTCTCCGACAAGAATCGTGAAGGTGCTGAAGGATACCACATCAATTGCACCGACAGACTGCAGTACTGACTACAATGGGTCACCCAAAGTACCCGCCGCAGCTATCTCACGATGAAGAGGCATACCTGCTCTCGAACTTGAAAGACTGGTCGATCGCCCATGGCTTAGCGGTTCGTCCAGCTCCGTCTTTTGTGCAGCAATCGCAGGACCCCTCTGGCGTACTTGCAGCGACAGCACCCGTCACTCTGTTCCCGAGTCTCTTCCCAAAGTCATGTTTCGAGGAGGGAATGGCCATTCAAAAAGCCTACAATGAGCTTTACTCGGCCATCTCTCGGGATGAGGAGTGGCTACGCGACATCATTGGAGAGCTCACTGATGTTGACGACTTTGTCGCACGGCTATGGAGAACACACCTGGAAGTGAAGAAAGAAGGCTATGTTCAGGATCTCTCTCTTGGTCTGTTCCGGTCGGATTACATGGTACACCAGGAACACGCGAAAGCGGGCTCATCTCTTGGTTTGAAGCAAGTCGAGTTCAACACAATCGCTTCATCGTTTGGTGGATTATCATCGAAGGTATCGGCAATGCACAACTATCTTCTTGGGATTGACGCTTACCCAAAATCAATGTCTTCGATCCTCAAGAAAGATTCTCTGCGTCAAAGCAAGTCCATTACCTCGCTCGCCAATGGTCTGGCTGTGGCACACAAGGCCTATGGGGCAGGGCTCTCGAACCGGCCGCTGTGCCTTTTGTTTATTGTACAAGATCCGGAAAGAAACGTCTTTGATCAGAGACACATTGAGTATGCATTGCAAGAGAGCCATGGAGTGCGCACCTTCCGCCTTCCGTTTGGAGAGACACTGTTGCATACGCGGCTCGACTCGGATCGTACGTTACTCTATACGCCCCCAGGCTCGCCATCGATGACGTATGAAGTAACGACGGTGTACTTTCGGGCGGGTTATTCGCCAGACGACTATACCAAGGAGGAGGATTGGGCCGCACGGCTTCATATGGAGAAGAGCCGAGCGATCAAATGTCCCAGCATTCTAACACATCTTGCTGGATGCAAAAAGGTACAACAAGTGCTAGCCACCCCACAGTCACCACATCTCAAGCGCTTCTTACCTGATGCCGAGGTCGCATCCCGTCTGCTAGCCACTTTTGCGCCGATATATCCACTGGACGATAGTGAAGCTGGACAGCAAGCAAGGGAACTCGCCACCAACCCCGCTTCAGCTGCTCGCTATGTTTTGAAGCCACAACGCGAGGGCGGGGGAAACAACGTCTATCGAAAATCGATCCCGCCGTTCTTGGAAAAGCTCCCGACAACGCATTGGCCAGCGTACATTCTGATGGAGATGATTGAGCCCCCTCCTCTGCAGAATGCCATTCTGCGTAATGGAGAAATTCAGAGCGGGGGCGTCATCTGCGAGTTGGGTGTGTACGGAGTGTGTCTCTGGCGACACGGTAGCGGCGAGGAGAAGAAGGGGGAGATTGTCGAGAGCTGGGAGGCGGGCTACCTGTTGCGCACCAAGGGCGATCAAAGCGAAGAGGGCGGCGTGGCTGCTGGGTTTGGGGCAGTAGATAGCTGTTGCTTGGTGGATGGTTAAGGGCCTTGGTGTGCAGATTGGTGCGGCTCGGCAGTCAACTCCCTCCGTCAGCGTCAATTTACCTAGTTTGCTGATGAAAAGACAATTTGACAAGCGACACGAAGATTTGCCCGAGAATGCCTCCCACTCACACATGCGTACATAGGTTTTCATCTGGGAGATTCGGGACCCTGGATAAGTGCGAAGAGCATCGACAGTTAGATTGTGAGACGGAATCAGCAAGGGGGGTCCTTTTTTCGCTCGTTACGAGAGTGGGCGGAAGGGAAATGCTTAAGTATTGGAAGGCTTGCGCCCACAATGTCAACCCTGCCAATGGTCATGGTATGTAGAGAGTAGGTAGCAGGTTGATGAA